TGGTGGTTCAACATGGCAGCCTTCGTGGAAGAGGACCCGCTCCCTCTAATAAAAACAGCTCATTCAAAGGTTACGAAAACACAACGATTCTTAATTTCAGGTGATTATATACCAATGAAAACATACCTATGATTATATCTCATTTCTGCCAATATATCCTCCTTAATGTTACACACTGGACCTTTAATACACACAAACAGAGCAAATCCAGTAAGGGTAAGTCTGGTGATATTCTATGTTTTTCTTACCGTCAACAAATCACATGAAAAGACCAAAACCAGCAATTAACTGATCACTACATTTTGTCTATGTGTCCAAATTGTGATATATCTTATTTCTCTGTGCCATAGAGCTCCACTGTTCAAAATCTGAACTACACCTGCTGCTAAGATTTATGTCTTCATAGGAACCAACGGGCTTGGAGCTGAGAGCCACAGACAGGAAGTCAGAAAGTATTAAGAGACAGCATTGTTGGTTTTGGTCATTTCATGGGATTTTTTGATAGTAGAAAATGTGTAATATTGCCAACATTATTGAGACATTGAAATCTCTGCCAATAAAAATTGTTGGAAATTATGGATGATATGGATATTTCTCCTTTTTAATTAATTAAAACGTGTTTACTTTCAACTAGGTTACCATGATGCTGTCCGTAACAGTCCTGACCTTTTGTGTAACTTTATATCAATTAAAGAGTCACTGAAGGGGGCCCATGGTAGCCCCACGTAGGGCCGATTCCAACCTCTGCTGCGTGTCGTCCCCTCCTCTCTCACACACCCCTTTTCTGTCTGTCTTGGAATAAATCTGTCCTATCAAATAAAGGCATAACCCCCCCCCCCGAAATATCTTTAAAAGAGTAACTGAAGGAGACAACCCAAATGACTCAAACGTAGAAAACCGTGTAACATTTCAAGGCAGAACATTATCGAACACTTTTTCCCCCAGCGGGTTGAATGTCACCGGTTACCTCAAGTAAAAACATGTTTTTGTAAGGTTGAAAAAGGGGGAAACCTGCTTGCTTTGGACCTCCTTAAAGAACCCCCTTGAACATTGTATGACGACATATATACACAAATACCCTGTATGGTTTCTGATGTGTTTGCTCCTCAAAAAAAGTGTAATTCAATATTAAAAATCCTTAAAAAGTCATCTAACCCCCTGCTACCTCTATAATTAAAAATATAGAATCTCATTTCTAAAGATTTCCTGCTGGACACAGAATGTCTCCTCCTTCACTGTAAAGTCCATTCAGCCTATCAATATTATGCCTGAAATAGTGCACCAATATGATATGTCACGATATTGTTAACATATGTATTGTTTATAGCATTTATAAGCACATTTAATACATGGTTTATATCACACATATTACACACATATTATAATATTACAGCTGCAAGAATTTAAATATGTCTTTAAAGGAGATGTTATATTAACAAATACTGTATATTAACAAACACTTAAAATGTCATTATTACTACATTATAGTGTGTTATAAACTAGAATTAAATGTTTCTACAGTGCTTATAAATGCTAACTAGAGGGGATTTAAAAGTAGCGGTAGGGCAACCCAATCAAACGGCACTTATTTCCAGTGTGAATTCTGTTTCTTGTTGATGGAGTTCATTCTGCTGTGCTTCTGTAAGTCCTGTTAAACAGTGAAACTTCCTCTGCTCAACAGTCAAGGTGAGATCAGTCGAATTTTCTCTGATGTGTCAAATTTCTCCATCCTTTTAATTACCCACTCACGGTGAACAAAAGTCAGATCAGAGTCTAAATGTTTTCTTGTCAGGTCTTGTCATCTTTTCTCCTGAATGGAACAGAGTATAGGCCCGGTGAATTAAAAAAAAAACAAAAAAACAAAACGAAAACTCCCCCTTCTCACCTCTGTTACTGTAAACAGAGAGCTGGCGGTGAACGGATAAGGGTTTAGGCTTTGAAGTTATTTTGTGAATGAATCCGTGGGAGGACAGAGAGCTAAGTTTAGAACGCAGAGAATCAAAACAACACCCTGCGTGCCCTGCATGGCTTTCCCCTAAATGTAGATGGGAAACTAAGATGCACGAATGTTGACAATAACAGAAAGCCAACTGATAACTGAAATGTACAGGTGTACATTTGTAAGTAGAGAATGAAAGGGTCAACTGCTGCTACAGCACCACAGCACGTTCACATTGCCCTCAGATAACCCCCTCCGTGTCTTGTTAAACTTTCTCATGTGAGCTGTGGGCGTGGCGCTGTCTGACTCCTCTGCCTGAGTGAGTAGACCTGCCACAACCCTACCGCTCGCTTCGTCAGTCCCTACACCCACGACCATAATCACACTTTCTGTTGTCACCATCGTCCTCTGGGATCCAATTACAGCCTCTTCTGTTTGCTGCCCTGAATAACGGCCTGCACCGACCCCACCCTGCATACGCCCTGTGCTCACTCTCCTCCCAGAGAGCTAGACGCTGACATGTCAGACTGCATGAGTTAACTGGTGAGCTGGAGCTCCAGAGATGAATGGCTGAACCCCATTTGGTTTGAACCATGGTGCACACAGACCAACCGTCTGCAGACATGCACCGATGCAAAACAGTTTCATAGGTGATCACTTTGCAGATATTTCTTTATTTAATTAACACCAGTACAACCCTATCCCCAATGCAACACAACAGCTCTGCAATGAATGTTACATTTATGAAGCTTTTTATATTATTTCTTTGAGAGGGACCTCTCTGCTTGTACAAGGAGTATCAGTATATCATGTAGTTTACTGAGGTCTATATTGTTGGAACATGCAGGTTATACTTTCTTGCACCTTAGAGAAACAACAGTTTGCTGGACTTTATACTTTTATGTGGATGATGACAAAATATTGGGACATGGACAAGTATTTCTTTAAATAAACAATGTAGCCCTTGAGCTAGCAATGTGTGGCAGGGTTAACCTCTAACCCTAACTCCAACAACAGTTTGCTGAACTGTATACTTTTATGTGGATGAATGACAAGATATTGAGACATGGACAAGCATCTTTTCAGTAAACAACAGAGCCACTGAGCTATGGATGTGTGACAGGAGAAATATGCATCTAGATCTACAGGCGGGTGACAAATTAAAGGAAAAACATCAATGAATTAGTTAAGTAAAATGCAAATTAATGCAGATGCTTCCACACAGGTGCATTGCATGGTACAATTAAGCAATCCAATCATGCTCTGTGGCACGTATAAAATGCTGAACAGGCCCAGTTGATCACTCCAAGAGAACGGCAAAGGCTGAATGCTTGATTCCTACAGTAAGGGCATTTTGCTGGCATGGTGTGGGTCCACTTGTTCCCTCTTAGAAGGAAGGGTCACTCCAAATCAATGCAAAATTGATCTGATCACTATGTACAGTTGTCTCTTCCAGGATAGCAATGCCCCCATCGATAGGGCACGAGGGCTCACTGATGGTATGAAAATGATGTGAATCATATGCTACGGCCTTGACAGTCACCAGAACAAGTGAAAGGGGTCCCCAGGAACAGCTGGAGAAGAGACATCCAGGCACGAATGTCTGTGACTCAACTGAGGACAAAGAACCACCAACAACCATGTGAGGTGAGGTGGTCAGTCCTCCATAGAGAAGCAAAGAGCTTAAAGGTCCAGTGTGTGACATTTAGGAGGATCTATTGGCAGAAATGTAATATAATATTCATAGGCAAGTTTTCATTCCTGTATAATTACCTGAAAATAAGAATTAATATGTCCACAGAGGCTGCCATGTTTAACTGCCATATTTGCTAGATGCCACTGAAGCCTACACACTGGTCCTTTAAATAAAATTAAACAGGTCCATACCAAAAACAAATCACTCGTTCTTTCCCCCAAATTTTGATAAAAAAACGTTGAGTGGTTAGTCATCAATATCCTGCTTACTAACTGACAAAGACATGAGACAGGAAATCTAATCTCCTTAGTGAAGGTAAATAACAATGCGATCTCTTACGCAAGTCCCTCCTAATACCAAGTACAGCCTGTTGTCCCTTCAGCTTTATCAGCATTACTGTGCTCTTTCTGATCTGACTACAACATATAACTATATTATTGAAGACCCTACATGGTATGGTATTGCAAAATGACTATTGTGACAGTACATCTTATATCACAGTACATTGCCCAACCTAAAGTTAATCAAATATAACCACAAATTAGCATTTATGTCAAAGAAATTAGT